AGCATCTAAATGGCGACCTGCTGATGGGAAGTAGAGAATTAATTTCCTTTTTTAAAAAAAAAATAAATTAATCTGCTTGTGTGTGTAGCTTCATTACACTTACTAAACTGTCGTTATCTCAACCTTTGTATCTTGCTTTTGTCCTTCTGATTCTCTCCSCACTCCTGCTGAGGGAAAGTGAGCAAGTGACTGGATGGGAGCTTCTTTTTCAGGTGGGGTGATGTGGTTTCACCCCAGACAGCAACCAAGCTTCATGCAGCTACTCAGGCACTCCACCATCAGCAGGATTGGGGAAAGAATTGGAAGGCTAAACATAGAATCAAACCACCAGGCTCTAGAACAAACTTCCAGAAAGAGTGGTGAGGACAAATGGCTTTCCTGCTTTTGTGATGGATCTTGCCAGTTTCCTTCAGGAACTCAACAAAAGGACATCAGTGATTCAGGTGGGTATTTCCAAACCTGCCGTACACACTAGAAAATAATTCTAGATTTTCCATGTTTTATAAATGAAAAAAAAGGGCTTTTTATTGAATTGATAACAGGTCAAGACTGTGGGAAAGACAGTTTTCTCCTTATTCCAACAAGCATTGTGGTTTGGAGACAAGAAACAGTGATCCTCCATGTTCATGTGGGAAACTCCAAACTTGCATGACCCTCTCAGTAGAAGTTAGATATCCTTCCTTCATAAATTAGTTCTTATTCTGAAGGTCTTTTTGACCCTTTGTCTTTCTGTAGCTGTTGTTACCCTGGATGTTGCTGGACTTTATACTCTGAATTGGATAGTGAGCATTGGTGTGAAAAGTGTTTACCACACTGAAAATGTGAAGTGGCTTTATTAGTAAACTCAGCAAGTGGAAAGACAAGAGAACTTGTTTGTCTGTTCACTGAACTGGAGAGCAGGTTTCCAATGTGGGTTTTTCATGTTAGCTGTGGCTAGAATTTCTGCTCATGTCTTAAATACAAGCCAGGTGTCAGTGAGCTATTTCCCTTTCCACAATACAGGGAAAAAGGTAGAGTCTTACACAAATTAAAAAGTTACTGCTGACATTATTGTTCTCTCCCCTCCCCAGCACAGACAATGTAGGAGGAGACAGTTTCAGTGGGACCACATACCTTGGTCACTTTTGCCAGAGGGAGGATGTGGTCAGCTTTCTCTTCAACATTTAGCTTGGCCTCCACAGTCATGCTTGGTGAACCTCATTGGTGCTGTTTTACTGGGTAGTTTGTGGGGAACAGCTGGCTAGTGGTTCTTCCCTGTTTTATTAGGCAATGTAGTTCATAAAAGTTGTGGCCTTCAGCTTAACCAGATTCCTGTGTGGAAAGTCTTGTTCACTGCAGTGTCTGGGCCAGAGACGTTTACATCACTGCAATCAACAGCATTTATAACAGTTACTCCTTAAGTGACCTTAGGTTAGCAGGAAGCAAGATGGAAGAATGCCCTTCCAAAAGCAAGAATTTCCAACTTGAGTAGGAACTGTTTTTTATGTGTATAAAAACAAGTAATTATTTACCATTTCCACTCAGTTGTCCATCTAGTCAGCCACATTAATCAAGGAATTTCACTCAAGGCACAGTCATCACGCAGCACAGAAGAAAACACTGTCTGGTAAAGACATTAGGGATGATACTAATGAAGAAACGGTTGTTTGGGTTTTATTTGCAAATCTGCAGTGCAATTAAAAGCAACAGCTGCTTTCTACTCTATTTCAGAGCTGAGTGGCAAAGTCAACATTATAATGAAAGGAATATATTTTCTTTTTGAAGGCACACTTTTGTGGCAACAATTTTGCTTTCCTTTTCAATGACACTTTCCTCATTCAAACAAATGTAATGTTAATTTCCACCATGAAGAAGAGGAGCATCTATGGACCACAGCTACAGACACTTGAAATAGAAAAATTGATATGAACGCCACTCAAAAGAGAATGAGTATTGTTGTATAAGCATGGGAAGAAAAAGCAGAACAAAAGTTAAAATCAAGTATTATTTTGGTAACAGAGGATTGAGTTCATGTCAATAGCTCTGCAAAACGTGTTGTTTCCATCAAGTGCTGAAAGCACAGCACAGATGATTTGGTAGCTAATGACCCTGCATTCCTGAAGAGGATGGCAAAAAGGTTGAAGGCTCTCACACATGCTATCTCTTTTTCTCTCAGTGCAGATGCCACCTCATTCAGCTTGATTCAGTCTCCGAGCTCGGGAGAAGCTTACATCTATTTCTTATGTAGGTAATGATTTTTGGTGCTTTTGTAGATACTTGCATGAAGGGAATGCAACCATACACAGTGTTCTAAAAAAAAACCCCTCCCGCATTCACAGAGGTTTAGTTTGCATTTGCATAGTTTGCATTTGCAAACACAGTTGACTCTGTATGCCACAACTGCTTAGTCAGGGTAACTTAAGAACAAGGGGGCAAAGGAATCAAACTGGAACACAGCACCAAAAATGGTTTTCTAATGAAATTGGAACAAAATGACAGGAGAAAAAAAAAGAGTGTTTCTGACTACCAGCTAAAAAGATGAGCAGAAATGAAAATCAATGGCTTGCACTAAAAACTGTAGTGTAAGCTGGGTGTAGGGCAAAATGTGAAGGAGTGAACTAGTGGCATCCAAGAGCAGCCCAAAAATTCACAGATGCCAGGAAACAAAATTCCTTTTGACCTAGATAAGGTGAGCTGAGTACCTGCTCTGTCTCCTGATTTGGAGGAAAGTGTTGCACAGAAGGTGTGGACTGCAAAGAGTGAATACGAAAAGCTCCAACACATTTCTCTGACCCACAGAAATTCCCACAGGTTTCCCCTTCCAGCCCTTCTCCCTCACCTACATAAAAGCTCTGACTCCTCCACTGCTGTCTGTCTCCTCTCCTAACCATCTCTGGTCCTCTTATCACACCCTATTACTGCTGTGCCCCTAAAACTTATTCAAACAGGAATAAAGCTTCCACATGGATGAAATGACAATAACAGGAGAGGACTCAGAGGTTTTTTTAGTAAATCAGGATTGGTATGAATCAACAATGTCATACGGTCAAGAAAACAGACATCATACTGGGATATATAAACAGGAGTCTCGTATGTAAGACACATGAAGTAATACTTCCACTCTACTCAGTATTCCCAGGACCTCAACAGAAGCACTGTATCCAGTTTTTGGCACAGTACTGCGAGAAAGTGGAGAGGGGCCAAAGGAAAGCAAGAATAATCAGAAGTCTAGAAAAGACAACCTAGGGGAAAGACTAACTGAAGAGTTGTTTAGTCTGTGGGAAAGATGACAGGCTGAAGGGACACTGACAGTTTTCAAATATGGGGAGGGCTGATGCGAAAGAGGAGGGTGTAGCCTGTTCTCCTTGGCCATGCTGTGTGATAAAATAATGGTCCAAAGTTCAGTTAGGCCTATCTCGACAAGTTTTCTTATTGATTGCCTATATGGATAGAAAAGTTCTGAGATTGTGTAAGAAAGTGGTGGAGTCCCTAGAATCAGAATGGTTCAGTCTGCAGACTGCCTTACTGTGGCCTTTCAGTACTTAAAGGGGATACAAAAACCAGAAAGGGTCTTCAGACAAGTACACGTAGGGACAGAACAAGGTGAATGGCTTTAAACTGAGAAAGTGCAGGGTTAGATTAGATAGGAAATAGAAATTCTTCACTGTGAGGGTGGTGAGGCACTGACACAGGTTGCCCAGAGAAGCTGTGGCTGCCCCAATCCTGGCAGTGTTCAAGGCCAGGGTGGATGGGGCAGTGAGCAACCTGCTCTGGAGGAAGGTGTCCCTCCCATAGCAGCGGGCTTGCAACGAGATGATCTTTAAGGTCCCTTCCAACMCAAACCATTCCGTGACTCTGTGGTCTGCTTGCCATAACTATTCATTTAGTTGCCATAGTAAAGCCCAGCGGCCGCGGTTCCCGCGCAGCCCCACACGAGGCGGTCCCGGAGCCCACAGCCCCGCCCCGCCCCTGTTGCTCGGTGACCGCGCACGGCGTCAGTGCGGGGCCCGAGCCACGGCAGCGTGAGGCCGCCAACCGGGCTGAACCATCCCCTGACCGCTGAGGGGGCAGCAGTGGGTGTGCCCCGAAGCAACTACTGGACCTGTTGCTGCAGTTCCCTCTCTCAATCTGCCGCTTCTCCCCCTTCCTTCAGCGCAATTGTTGGTTTCGCCCCGCGCTGGCCATAGCGACGGCAGGCGCGCCGAGGGAAGATGGCGGCGCTGGCTCCTGTGCCGTTGCCGGCTTCGTGAGCGAGGCGCTCGTTCTTCCTCCCGTACCGTCCTCGCTCCTGCACCCGGCTCCTCCCGGCTGCTCTCCGCCTCTTCTTCCCCGTCGGGGCCGTAGGGATAATGTCGGACTCGGAGGAGGAGGAGAGTCCGGACCGCCAGCTCAAGCTGGTGGTGCTGGGGGACGGCACCACTGGCAAGGTCAGTGCTGCCCCTTCGGCAGCTCTTCTCCCTCGCCGCGGTGCCCCGAGCCCCTTCCCGGCCTTCCCCTTCACGCTGCCCCTGGCTCTGCTGCTGGGGAGGGAGCAGCCCGCGGCGGCGGCCCGTCTGTGGCGATGCCCGGCTGGCTGCTCCCCCTCGGTTCCAGGCCCTGCGTGGGAGGCGCGGGCTCCTCTCGCCGGTATCCTCGCCGTGCCCGGCAGCCAAACCCTCCCAGGGGGCTTCCGCACCCGAGGAGGCATCCTCAACAAATAGACGCACACAAGTGTAATCCAATTTTCTTGAGCCGTGAGAAAAGGAGCGGCGAATAACGCAATTCCTGGGGTGCTGACGGAGTGTCCCGCTGATCCCCGTGCGCTGCTGCTCGCGCTCTGGAGCAGGAGTTGCTCGGCTGGAGTCGCTGGAATAGCCCAAGTTTTTGTGGGTGTCTGCAGTGCCCTGGGTGTGGAGGGCAGGGGTCGGGGCCGAGCACGAGGATTCGCGTTCCCCTCGAGCAGGGAAGGTCGCCTAGCTGGGTTCGCAGGCGCCCTTCGTTTCGGATACAGAGCTACCAACCTGCTGAGCTGGATAGAACAGTTTGTATCTATTGGAGTTACTGTTCCAGAGCTGGGGAAGGCACTCCTGGGTCCACTTAGTTTTCGTTTGTAACTATTACGTTTTTGGTTTTTTTTTTTTCCCCTATCTGTAATCACCGTAATGAAATTTTGATTATAAAAGTTTATTTGTCAACAATAATCAAACAATAATCAAATCAATCAGACAATAATGCAACAAATTTCTCTTTGTAAAGGAGAAGTTTTGAAAAGGAGAGACTGAAGAAGGCAAAAGAGAGGCTTCTTTCTTAACCATTAAAGCAGTCACTGTTCTTTACTTGAACATACTTTTGAACATATCTATTGTCATATGTAGCCTGAATAATTTTGTGAGATGCACCTGAAAATAGTAAATTTATTGTATGCTTGAGGGATACAACTTTTCCCCCTGTCGTTAACTTTTGAAACTATGGGGAGCTGAAATTATATGAAAAGTGGAAATGTTCTTAGAACTGGTTTAAATTAAGTTCTTTACATTAATAGGAATAAGTTCTTCGTGAAAGTATGTGTGATTTTGCTCACTTACTTATTCGGAACTCTGCAAAGAAACGAGAATTTTTTTTTTTTTTTTTGTCTCCAGTGATTGTAAACACAGTCTGAAGTGGTATTGTGTTCATCGGAGTCAGTAGATGGGCAATTCAAACTGACTGTGTGATGAGAACATGATAAATGCACAGGACTGACAGCTGAAGTGCTGCTTCACTGGTAGCATTTCCCTGGAGCTTTCTATTCAAACTGAGGAATCCTTTCACTGCTGCTGCTCAGCAGCTTGTGGCAAGACCTCTTGCCAGACATGGATTTTCAAGCGTTCTTGAGTTTTGATGTATATTCCTGCTGCTTCCTACCTCTCTCACAGAGGATGGCTCTCACTGCATCTCCTGCTGACTCGAGGAATCTCATGCTTCCAGTGCAGGTTATTGGGCACAAGCAGCAGAAATACTCTGGTGGGCTGCTTTTCCTCCTGTCCCCCCTAGATGATGCTGTAATAGAGGCTCCTTCCCGCCATCCCAATGGCCTGGCAGCTCACATGTGACACAATAGATTTATTGTAGAATCCTGTAAAAATAAAGAAGCAATTGGGTCATGGAATGTAAGGATAAAATGTACCTATTTCAAGCACCTCTGAAGACTAAATAGTTGAGGTTCTTCTCTTTTGTTGGCTACTCGTTTTGCTTACTTGTTGAAACACGTATGTCCATGTGTTTTCAACTCTAAATTGCCTGGCTCTCACATCTGGTTCACAGCTGGTCTTTACACACGTGCATACTTAACATCTCTTTTGCTGTGCAAGGTGTTGGTTTTTCTTTTCCTTTGTCACGCTGGGATTGTAAGACAGGAGGAGTGTAGAAAATAATGGGATATATCTGAAGTACTGTACCTTGTGCTTAGTGTGAGGTGTTCTCATTTGACTTCTGTCCTTTATTCCGTGTCTTCCAAAAAACCAAAAAGGCTGTTGTGAGTCAGGTGGAAATTTGCTTTCTCTTTTCCTCAACCATTGCTTAGAAGAAATGCGGCCTGGGTTCTGTGTAAGGATTGATAGCAGCTTAAAAATAAATCAGTGTCAGTTCAAGCTAAAGGTGATGTTTGTACTTGCACTAGCTAGGAATTGCTGTATCCATGAGGCAAGGGAGGGATGCTGTGCTTCTATTAATTTCTTTTGAGGTGGTTGAATGGATAGAATTTTAAGGGTTAAGGGTAGTGATAAGTAAACTTGAGAAGAGTGAAAATGGAAGAAGGAATAGGAGGAGTGAGACAGGGTAGAATCTATTAAACTCTTAGGGTAAAATAGAGATGTTAAGGAAATAGTGAATTGTTGAAAAGAAAAATTGAGGAAAGCAAGACTGGGTAGAAGATAATAGAGAATGATTCTGATGAACTAGACAAACTAGGAAAACACTCTATGAAGCAATCAGAAGTGGGGACAATGTGAGATGAAAATAAACAGCAATTACAAATATCAGTTGACTCTTGATTTTGATTATAGGGAGTACATGTACACACAGCTGCCTTATGTGTCTAAGTTTTAAATCAACCCATTCTTCCTGAGCCAAAATGATTTTCCATTAAAATAAACCAGCATTACTAGTATGGATTGAAAAAAAAAAAAAAAGACGTTATGGTCCAGATATACCTACTCTTTTTGTGCACAGATTGACTTAATGCTGACATATGCAAGGATCCTGATTTGAGGTAGAATACTATGATTTACTTCTGTTTGAAAAGGCTTTGGGCCTCTGGAAGCAAATCTTGGAGCTATTTATGGGAAGGGGGAAAAATAGGTGTGCTGAGGTCTTTTTATTTGCTATCTGTTGTATCTGAACTAAAGTATGGTAGCAGAAACATCCTACCTTTTCCTTCTATTAACAATGGATTATGAAAATGAAAGAATGAATGCTCAAACTGGTATGGGAGTTTGCAAGAGCTAAAATGTAGGATGGCATAAAGAGTAGTGTCCTGCTTACTTTAGGATACCAGATTTTTAAGCATTGTGCCAATTTTGAATTGTCTGGTTACACTTGGGCTCGAAAATGTCATTGATGGTGACAGAAATATTGTTGTCACTGTTGAGTCTTTATATGGAAAATTGAATGAAGTGTGCTGTGCAAATTGGCCCAGCTGCATCAAATAGCTCTATGTCAAATGTCAAGAAGTTGTGATAATTTTCTCTTTTTCAGTGAATAAGCCTGGACAGTTACGCATTTTTATAGTAGTTAAAACATTTAATTATTTAGCCTAGTATTCATTTTAATTTGGTTTTTCCTAGAATTCCTGCCAATAGGGTAGGATTTGACTGAGGGATGAGAGTTGCAGTGCTTGGATAATGGCATTGATATTCTAGAAGGGAGTGAGGGCAGGGATAGGTACATATGTTTTTTTGGAAAGTGAATTAGTGGCTAAAGTTTGTATGTGTATGGAAATTCATGGCTTCAGAACTATGTGCTTGCATCTAATTGAATTTTGGGTTTAGGTTTCTTTCTTAGAACTATGATACTACAGTTTGGCACTGCTTTGTCAAAACTTTATTCCATAAGACTTAAAGAGTTGTCTTTGGTGGGGTTTTCCCTACAAGTTTCTGGTTGCTCTGATGAGTAGTCGTTGTCAGAGCTGGCTATTGTTGCTTATTCCATTTGACTTTCAATGTACTTCTATTTATTGAATTTCAAGTTTATTTCATAGATACTGTTTGCTTTTTTCCTGTTTACTCATTATGTAGGTCTTTAGGAAAAGCATGTCAGCAGTTTATGTTGACAGTGGAAAATAGAAGCAAGAAACTGTCATGCCTTTCATGTAAGGTTAAATTCCATCTTTGCTTCTTTCAAAAAAATTTCCCAAATATCCTATTTTATTTTGCGCTTAGAATTCTGTATATTTTTAAAAACTTTTTTTTTTTTTACTGCTGTCTTGGGTGCTGTACATTAGAGCCCAAAGACATTTTCTTGTCTGAAATAACAAGAACCAATCTTCAATACCAACCTTCAATGGTGGTATTGAACACCAACCTGCAATAGTGTATTGATATGTAGAATAGGATGTCAGCATTTGCTTTGAAGTATTTAAGGCAAATGTGTGAACCTTTCAAACTAATTTTTTTTGGAATTTTTTTTTGTAAAATCTGCTATGCAAGTTGATGGCCTGGGTGTCTTAGTAAAGGGGCAAAGGAACAAGGCTTTTGTGCTATTGTACTATTCTCTGACCCCAACATTATGGGGTGGGACTGTATGAAATACAATCTTTGTAAAGAATGGTCACTGATTATTAACTTATCTTTACAACTACAGTTCTACTGAACCATTATTTAACTTTGATGAATTGCTATATAGATTGTGTTCAACATATCATCTCAGGCAAAACTGTTGAGCAAAATCTTTTATGGCAAGCACGGCAGAGAGCACTTCTGGGATTTGAAGAAGTATTTGCATTGTAGAGGTACTTGAATATGCATTGACATAACTTCTTTGTTTATTGTTACAGAGAAGTTTGAACTGTTGCTTTTAGCGATTTGTGGATAAATTCTTGTTTTGTGAATAAATAGAGGACTAGACTGGTAATTCAACACCTTCCTTGAGCTCTAACATTCATTGGAAGAAGATTTAAAAAGGAGTTAGTCAATGATTTTGTGCTATAAATTCCTTTGCATTCAAGAGCACAGTAGAGAAAAACTGTTTAAGAGGACTTTGCCATGCTGTTGGTTACTTGTTGCTCTTACAAGCTGGCTGTTAATTGAATGTGTGTCATTTATTTTTACTAACACCCCTAGAAGTCCTCAGGGAATCTTGTGTGTCACAGAATGATAAGCTAATATTTACTGAGCCTTTAAAACAAGAAGGGAGTGGTTACTTATTTAAAGAGGATCTGAATTAGTGTGTTGGAGAATATAGAATGCTATGATATAGTCAGATGATGCTTCAATCTGTACTCTAGGCACTAGTTACTTTTCCAAAAAGGAACATTTCAAGAAGACTGAATGGTGTATTCCTGCAATACATCTTTAAGGTCATGACAGATTAAAGATAATGTCCTTGTAATCTTGACATGCCAACTATTGAGATTTAAAGAAACAGTTCTACTGACTCTTTCAATACTGAAGTCTGAATCTGTACTGAATTTTGTGTGTGTTAGTATTACTGTCACATAGCCGAAGGAAGAAGAATCTTCTCATGATTCATCCTCTGTGGTTCTTCTCCCTTTCCACAGTGATGTAAATATATAAGCATACTCATGCTATTTCTAGTTCACTTGCTTTTTCTCCCTTTTGTTTATTTATTTTTAATCCTCGTAGAGGCTTGAGTTCAGTGAAGTAAATGGAAATGTTGCCATAAGCTATAACTGACTCATTGGGTTGTTTCCCAAACATATCTTCTGATATCAAAATATCATTCATTATATATATGGCAATGATAGGAATATAAATATGATATAGAAACATGAAAACAGTAAGTCTTGTTTTATTTACTAAATAGGAAGTGTAATAGTTGAATAAATGTTTGCCAATTCATACTAGTGCTTTAATGCTGGAGCGCTGGTGATCCAGAAAAAGTTATTTGTTCTTGTGTACATTTGACATCATTAGCCTAATTTGATTCTTTGTTATAACCTTCCTATTAACAGACCATGCCTATTCTTGTATTATAGAACTATTGGCATTATTTTGCTATTGCATTTTTGACTAAATATGCTCTTAACAGCAATTTCTGATAACTGTTGGTGTGACTCATCTCTTCAAGTCCTGATGAATGGAAAACTGGTGAGAAAATAAACCTTCTGGCCCATTTTGAGTTTTCTCAGACATTGTAAGGGTTTTGTGAGCCTCTTAGTCTTTTTCCTTCTTTGTATGGGTAAATAAATATTTAGACTATTTTTTCTGTAGTTAATTTCTATTTATGCTTATAAATGTCATGTCAGCAAGAGAATTTTGAGTGTGCACTACTTCAATATAAGTTGTATTTTATAATTTTTAATATTTAGTGGCTTTTTTTTCACAATACAGACTTTCATGTTATGATTGTACCGCTATATTCTCCTTTCCTTCCTGTGGGCTTGCTTTCACTTTCTACCTCCACCCTGGTTTTTTTTTGTATTGAATGGAGACCTGCTAAATTGCTACTGACAGAATATAAATGCTTTGCTTCAGTAGTTTATCTAGGTTAGTTGTGTATTCTTTTAGCACTATACAGTAAAAGCTTATTATTAGGTCAACAGTGATTTGTTTGCTTTCATAAATCTGCAAAAAGCCAATAGAAGTTCTTTTCTATACAGTAAAGAAATAAGTTTTCAAAGTTCTGCTGAAAGGAATGATTCTGTAAATGTGCATTCTTAATATGACCTTAGATTTTTTTTTTTTTTTTTAATGTGTGCAAAAAAGTACTCTTCCCATCTTAGATTTCCTATAATTCCTGATCCTGAAACTGGTATACAGTGGCAGAAATCTTGCCACATCTTGCCCACATCCCCTGTGGAATTCTACACTGTGCAGATCTCTATTCCCTCCCAGAAAGTGGGTCTGGGATCATGGTGTTCTTTAATGGGGAGGACCTTGTTTTGGAAACAAATGCTTTTTGAAAATATTAAGATCTTCAAGTACAGATAGTAGCATTTAGATTTGTGTCCGTTTGAGCATTCTGATGATACCTCCCTCAAATCTGTGGGATATTTTGTAATAGGGCTCTTACAGTATTTTTGAAATCAAAGCAAATATGGACCTTACTTATTTTTGCATAAATTAGTAGCCTTTGCCACCTCCTGCTATTATGTTGAAACTGACTGGAKTGCTTGTCAATCCAAATCCATGAACACTGTTAGCATTCATTGATTTAAAAAATGCTTAACTGTATTTCATACTTCTGGGTTAACATGAAGTTTATTGCTATTTAAAATGACAACTTAATTTGATACTGTTCTTTTTTAGACATCCTTAGCTACACGTTTTGCTCAAGAAACRTTTGGAAAACAGTACAAACAAACCATAGGACTGGACTTCTTCTTAAAAAGGATATTATTGCCAGGTAAGAGAATGGCACTGAAAGGCTGGGTAACAGCAAGTCTTGCAGAAACAGATTCTTCAGAGTAATGTGTACTAAATAAGCCTAGTGCTTTGGTTTTTATTGTTGTTGTTCAGAGAATATTTTGTTTGTACATTCTTGCCAGGTGACAAAGAGTTATACATTTGCAACTTACATCTCTAAGTAAAACGCTGTATTCAAGTAAAAGGGATGCTGTCTATATAGATAAATTTTATTATCCCTGCTTGATTGCACTCCCTTTCCACGTGGATAGTGTAATACACAACAATGAGATGGAACCTTAAACATATTAATTGAAAAAATATATGTGTTTTGAAATAAATAGATAYATATTTTAGTGAAGTACACAACTCATATTTGAGTTGTGTGAAAGAAGCATAATGCAGCTATGGACTCACAGTGCTCTAATATGTGAATGCTGTTTTATGCAAGGCAGCATGAAATTGCTGGCATTTAATAGACCACTAAAATTTAGGGTCCCTTGGCACTCATAAAAATACAGTTTGAGCATTCAAGATGTTTCACTTCACGAAGGCAAAGAAACTATTTAGATGCCAGTTGCAGCACACTGCATGGAAAATGCAAAGAAATAATTAAAAAAAGAATAATTGCTGGTTAAGTTTGTCTCTGAACAATTGGGATCAGTCTTTTCATTGATTTGTGTGTGCTTYTATTCTAAGTATGCAAGTATTAAAAATATTTTCTTCTGGATTCAGAAATCAGAAGTTAGAAAAAGTATGTGTTAAAAACTGTAGTGAGATTTGATAAAGTTGATGCAAGTTCTGTAGTTCTGTCTCCTTGTGAATGGTGGGGAGGGAAGCAAACACAGAAATTAAGCATTTTAACTGTAACCTGAAGCTACAGGAAAATGTACACAATTCTTGAACTTTTTTTTTTTAATTAATTACAAATAATTTCTTGATTATGTTTATATATTTTCTTAAGTGAAACAGAATAATCTTTTCGGACTATTCCTCTGTTCACTATTTTAGTTTGACCATTTTGCTGTACTTTTTTAGTATCTGGTGAGTGATAAACTACTAAATTCCAGTACTTATTTCTCCATAAAAGCAACAGAATAATTTTTTTATTGTCCTGCTCATGCCTCTAAAAATACCAGTGTGCATAATACTTAACAGCAGTACTTGCAAGTGGAATGTGTACACAAATCATGTAGTGTGCATGCTGAGAACTTGTATTTTGCAAGTTTTTTTCCAGCTGTTAAACATACAGAAGCTGTTAGTACATTACTGGATTCTAAGTATTCTTGTTGAGTAGAAAATTTGGAAAATTATCAACTATTGCTTCATTCATTTTTGTTCATAGTTTATTTTGTGTGTGAATTTCATTCATTCATAGTTTATTTTGTAATAAAATCAGAGTGTAGATAAAAATAGCACCAGAAAGTCTATACATCTGTTTTTCTCAGAAGAGTAGTATTTGTATTCATATTCAGGAAGAAACATTTTTCTGTAGGTTGTCATTCTGGTATCGCCTCTGTGTTTAGGTATATATGGCTCTCTATTTTATAGGTAAACTGGACTTGTGGGGTGTGAGAGGGAGGGAGGTAACATTTCTAAATTCTGGGATGGGAAGCATTACTTTAGTAAGTGGATTTTTCTAATTTCTTGATTTTGAGTTTGCAGAGCTGCTATGTTTACTGGAAAGGTTTATTCATACCACTGCACAGAAATTATGTATATATCAGTAGGAAAAAAAACCCCTCAATTTCTCTTATTCAGTAGGAGAATTGATGAATAACTATGGTTCAGTAGTTGATTTTTTTCTTCAATGTAGGCCAAGAGTCCTGAAGTTAAAATTATGGATTTCTAGAATTACACATTTCTAGAAGTTTATATTAGACCACACCGAAACACATTTCAACTTATAAAATAAAGTACTGTTTTTCAGGGGTTTTAAAATTTTTTAAGATAACAGTGGCATTTGTCTCCAGTAGTTTTTGTAACTAATGCAGTTTTTCAGTGAAAATAATGAACATTTTACATAGTTAAACAATACAGTTTAATTGAAATAGGAAATACTTTGATAATTTTTTAACAATGTGACTTCTAGTGTTGAACATGACAAATGCACTTTATTCAAAATAATTTTTTAAGTGCAAATCTGTTTCATTATATTTATTGATGCAGAATCTTGTATAGTCTGGATGCAACCGTGGTGTAGATTTTAGTCCTTAAATAGTGTATCTGTTAGTCAGAGGGTCTGCTGATAGAGACTCTTAAGAGCCATAGTTGTATACTTTGTGGGAGGTTGTGGGTSCAGTTCAGTAAACAGGATTCTTCTGTTAAAAGGATTTTTTAAAAAGTTGTTGGTGTAAAAAGTGGTCAGACTTGTGTTTTTAATTCCATCTTGRCTGTGCAGCTCTTCAAGTAAGGTTAACCAGTGCACCAAGTGTCCTCCTACAGAGTCACTGTTGCAGCCTGGTGGCTTCAGTTCATACCAGAAGYGATCTACACRCCTSYACTGGGCTGCCTCACATGATTTRCTTTGCAYTTGTGTGCATTTTTTACACAGGAAAGAAGTGCTRGGCTTTTCTTGTTCCTTATCAGTGTATTACATGTTATTTTGATAGGATTCTTCAGTTATTTTTTGGTATGTTAAGACTGTTTCTAACACCTGTGTTATGCATGGTTTCTTTCTGTTTTGTAAGTCCCTAGTTTGTGTGTTTCTGTTAAATTGAAAAAAGATTTYAAATTTTTTCCAGAAAACTTCATGTGCTACTATCACAGTTGTTATTTAAATATTTACTAGGTAAATTGCTTGCAGTTTTTCCTTTTGTCAGATTAATGCAAACACCCTCTTTCTTCCCCAGAATCAATTGGAGCACAGCACAAATAATAGAGAAGCTAATAGAAAAAAAAAAAAAAGGGGAAAGTAAAGCATTTTGGACAGGAGATGATCAGCATAAATTTCATAGTTAGTGAGGTTCCTAATTAAGAAGAAGTTCACCTTATATTAACATACCAATCTTTTTTYCCCCCCATTTCTTTTTTCTGTTGTTAATGAAGCAAAGTAAATAATTTGTAATGGGAGATGTTTTAGTTGAACAGTCACAGTTAGACTATTTAATTTAACTTACTGCACTAAGATTTCTGAGATCCTTCCATGCAATTGTCCAGATACTAAGCCCAGTATACTGTGCATAACTATTTCCTCAGGAGGAAAAATCTAATTGAAACTTTTTAGAGCACTTGTACACAAAATCAGGCATTTGAAAATTATTGAGTATGAAAGTGATAATATTTATAAAGTTTTTTTTTTTTCAAAATAGCTGACATGAAAGACACAGTAATTTTCCTGTAGAATACTGCAGCGTGATGAGCCTTTGAGCCCGCACAGTTTGTTTACCTACTGAGGATGTATAGTCTTTTCAGACTGTGGGTGCACTAGTTTATCCATGCCAGATGCTTTATGGAAAACTTGCCCGCATTTCTTGGAACAAGAAAAGCCTAGCACTTCTTTCCTGTGTAAAAAATGCACACAAATGCAAGCATTTATGTTCTAAGCTTTAAAAATAATTAAATAATCAACACATGGTATATGCACTATCAAAACAAAAAARCTTTTTGTTGTCTATAAAAGGTTGCCTTTATTGAACTGGAGTGTTTATGATGTGTTTTCTAAGCTCTGTGCAATTCTCTTAGTATTACATGAAACTCAGTGTAGCTTCATTGTAATATCTCACCTCTATTTTTTGTACTGTCTCATCTTTATTTTTTTGAGACCAAGGTARTAGTTTTGGAAATCTGCTTTCTTAACGAGATTAAAGCAAGGTGCATTATGAATATATAATAATAATATAATAATTTATAATATAATAATATAATACTTAATACCACAAGTAGCATATATTCAGCTATATAGTTATARTTTGCTGGTTATTTTCACCAAGTGCTGTGATGCATTTCCATAGAGCACATTCCTTTGTGTAACCAATGTGACCGTGTCACATTCAGCTGTGACATTTACAGCTGAATGGATCACATGGTGTAAAATAAGATTGTTAGTTACATACAACAGTTAAATAAGAATATATCTTTCTTAGTTGCCCAAAATAATGTGTTCGTTTTCACTGAATTCACAATTGTTTTTAATGTGAACTTTGTTACTTTTTTAAAATCTAGGAGTAAAAATCCTAGGCAGTTGTGATTATTTGTATGTTGAATTGATATTAACGTGTAAGTCATGTGAATTGTATGTAGATTGGAAAAAATTTTGTCAGTCCTTACTTTATTATTATTACCTGATGCTCCCAGGTAATCAGTACAGTTCTGAAAAGAGTTCTTGCCATGCAAAGTATGAGAAATTATACTGTAATATGTTTGTATGTGTATGGTGACATACCTTTTAGTGTGTATTTTTGGTCTGTGAGTTGCTGAAATGGCTTGCAAAATATGCATGATTTGTAGGCTACTAAATATTCTGTAGTTACGCTGATTTTTTCAGTTAGTTTTGTTTTTAAAAACTTGTTAACAATTTCAACATAGCTTAAAAATGGTTTAGAGTAGAAAGGAAGGTCTATTCTTGATGCAGATTCTTCGGGATGAAATGGTGTAAACTGTGTTCAGTTTTGCTTCATGCTTTAAGGTGTTGTGTGGAGGAATTAATAAGAGTCTACATCCTCAGCTTAGATGTGTGTCAGTATTTCCATTTTTTTACTCTGTCAGCTATGTAATTCTGTAACTGTGTACTACTATCAGCATCACTACCAAAATGAAGTTACCATGAAGACTTTTCCTTGCTTCTTGATTTGTAAGGAAGATTTGAAGAGGGGGCAAGGAAGGGGCACACAGTATGAAATAATGTGGATAAGTTGACATTAATTATGTTACCTTCCAAGTACCACACTATAGAACATTCTTTGTAAGGCTCTACATGTTTTGTCAGTGGAATATGTTATGTAATTTTTAGTCAGGAGTGGTGTACTTCATGCAATTCCAATTATTTTCTGTTAATATTAGATATGTTAATACCTAGCTATAGTTGTACTGTRTCTTGGTGATTTAGCTGAATGCAAATTACTCTTTCCAGATGATACAATCATTTTTGTTTCAAAATTTAGTTCTTATTTCTTGTGTACTTGTTAAAAGCTATTGCTGTTGATATGCTAGAGCTGTATCACCTGCTGTGATAATATATCTTTAAATTTATTTGTATCTAAATTTGCCAGGTTGCACAATATCTGTACAATTTTTTTTTCCAGGAAATTTGAATGTTACTCTTCAAGTGTGGGATGTAGGAGGACAAACAATAGGAGGCAAAATGCTGGATAAATATATTTATGGAGCTCAGGTACAGTATAAATGCTGATAATTATATCTATAGCAGTGATATAAAATTAATTGCAACTTGGTTCTTAAAATTATACATACATACRTGCATTATATATAGCTTTTAGTTGGTTGTTTCATAAACCTCAAAAATGTTGAATGTCTGTTCAATCTAAATTTGATATTAATATGCTAATTTAATTTTGATGTGTAGCTAATTTTTTAGAGCTGACATAAAAAGCAAAGCAAGAGTATGCATTTATAGGACTGAATAACTTTCAAGAACAGATGGTTGTTTCCAGGCTTTGTGTCTTGAGTTAAGAAAAGCAATCACAGTAAATAGTAAAGGCTATTTGGATATCCACATGGTAGATAGAGTGGCTGCTTTCAGAGCAGCTGCCTCCTGGGGGGAGAAAGTGGAAGGAGGAAATTAAGAGCAATCCTACACCATTAAATTCATACATGCAACTGGGGTTATAAGAGRGCAAACAAAAGGAGACAACCACATAGCTAAATATTTTTGCAAAACTCCTGTCCAATGAAAATGAATTTTATCTTGAGATTAACTAAGCAACTTAAAGTGGATGGTATGATTAAGAGCTAAATATTATAACAGTATCTTGAGTCATGAGATGATTTAGGAGGGTGTAGTATATACCAAACTACTTAGCATGGGTGATCCTAAAATGTGCTCTGTTCCTTARTTTGGAGTTTGCAATGAGAACAATAGGTGTAATGTGCTATTAGATAATGTTATACAGCACAGGAATGGCTAATGAAAGAGATTGGGATTTATTAGTTAATTGGATAAAGAGAAACTTGTCAATGTAACATTTTGTCACTTTCAAAAAATGTCAGAATGTTTTTAGCTGCTATATCTATTTGATAGCATATTCTTTTTTTTTAAGTGAAAAAATCGTTTGCTGACCTGTTACAGATCTACCAGGCAATAGGAGAAAGTGGCTTCCATGACAGAAGGAATTTGATTAATCACGAATTGTTGCCATATGCCCAAAGTAAATTTAATGAAGGAAATAAAAGGCTATTAGCTTTGTCTGTATTGAATTTGGTGATAAACTTAGGAGTTTCTTATCAAAACTAGCAGATCAAAAAGTTAATACCAGTGCCCAAAAGTGTATAAACAGTTGATATCAATATGACTAAAGTTTGCTTTTTTTAGTCATTGAGAACACATTAACAAAAATCCCCTAAATCCAATCTCTTTTTATTTATTCTTACCACAGTCCTCATTGTAGCCCCATTTTTTTTAATTGACTAATGATCTTTCTCTCCCAGTGTTGGCATATATTGCCAATGTCTGTAAGAGGCTTCTTATTGTCAAGTTCCAACACACATTCCTTTAGCTTTGTAACAGTGGCTGTTAAAGACACCTAAAACTATTTTCATTTTCATGTCTTCATGAAATGCCATAAAAAAGCACTGCTTTCAGCTTATTTCTAGGCAGAAACTTATTTTGTATTGAGCATCTGTAATTTTTTATAAGAAAAAGGAGAAAGATAAAGTAGAACAAGTAGGAATGTTTATAAAGGAAAATCCTTTTAAATATGGACAAAAATTCCTGTGAATGGACAAGAAAACAACAAGAAAGTAATTGGGAAGATGTAGCATGGAGTTGCTCAGCCAACTTGATTTCTGTCTGTGTTTAAATGATTAGCTCCGTGAAGAGGAGAGCAGTAGATTTGATTTATCTTTACTTCAGCAAGGCCTTTGACATAATCTCCCATAATGTTATTACAATATGTAGAGATACAGGTGGAATGGGTGGACCATAAATTGACTGAAAATCTGAATGGACAGCTGGATTTAAAGGTCTATAGCTCAACGTCTTACTGGTGCCTGATTATAATTTTTATTTCTTAAGGGTTGATACTGGGATTGTGCCTTTTACTAATTCTTTTAACCATGGAACAAAACATTGTAAGTTTATGAATATCACCAGATTGGGGAGGAATGGTCACTGTGCTGGAGGGTAGGGCTGCTACTGGGRGACACCATGAGCAGCTGAAGGAGTGGACCAACAGAAACCTTGTGAAGTTCTGCTGATGACAGATGCCAAGTCCTGCAGCTGGTACAGAGTAATCTTATGCAGCTGGGAATCAACTGGATAGAGTGCAGCGAGGGTCTACAAAGCTGATTGATTGTCTGGAGCATCTCTCCTGTGAGGCTGAGAGAGCTGTGATGGTTCAGCCTGGGGAATAGAAGGCTAATCTATATACATCCATGCAGGAAAGCTGCAAGGAAGAGAGAATCAGGGTTTGGTTTTTTTTTTTATGTAGTGTCTGTTGACAGGACCAAAGCAATGGGCACCTACTGAAACACAGGGGGACCCTTCTGAACATCAGGAAACACATTTTCTACTATGAGAATGACTGAGAACTGACACAAGTTGACCAGAGAGGTTCTAGAGTCTCCTTCYTCAGAGATACTCAAAAGCTGTCTGGACATGGTCCTGGCAGCTGGCTTTGGGTGAAACTACTTGAACAGGAGCATTGGATCAAAGGACTTCTAGAGGTCCCTTCCAAYCTCAGTCATTCTATGAAATGGCTTTGGAGGAAAAAGCTCTTGGATGGGTCTCTTACTGGCATAAAACCAGCTGAATGGGAGTTTGCAATGCGCCCTTGCAACAGTAAAAGCTAATGGAATATGGAGCTGTGTTAATAAGAATGAGGAAGTCAAATCAAGGGAAGTGAATATCATGTCTTGACATTTTTGAGGCTATATTTGGAGTAATGTGTTCAGTTTGGGRTTCCCTGTTGCAAGAAAACCTTTAAAATATTGAAGTTGCTTGAGTGAAGGTTGCTACAAAAARTGTATATGCCTGTGATGTGTTGCASTTGGTCAGCATGTGTGGTGCAGCTGGGATTTGAAACATCTTGTTTATAAAGTACACAAGCTGTACAGATTCAGATAGAGTAGATGATTTAGATCTGTTGCAGAAATTGTGTTTATCTTTGTATTCTTCAACTCTAATTCAGATTTAAAGTACATGTATGGAATTGTTTGTAGCTTACCTACAGTATGTGTTGTGCCTTTATACAGTATTTGCAGATGCCGATAGGCTTATGTAGCTTCTCTCTATTGGATCTTTGTGAGATTCAGAAATCGTAAATTGTTGAATTCTTGTTTTTGTTCTCAGAAATTTATGTATATGGTAGACCTACTTATAAAATCCTATGGCCAGCTGGAGATGGAAGTTTAGAGAATCTACAGCRACTGAAAAGATTATGGTCTACAGTYCACCTGMTCTTGGTTGAAATTTGRTCAGGATATYAGGAGGAATAAGTGGAGCATCAGTCTATACTTCACTGCAAAAACTTGCCCTTGGAGGTTTCCTGCTCTCTAATGAGAGCTGAGTCAATCCTCTAGGATAGATATTTTGGTTAGGTTACTGTTAARAAACCATATTTTGATTGAGATCCCCTATTCCTTGTGCCTAGTTTTGTAATAAGAATGGCAGATTTGAGCATGAGATGCAATTTGCTTGCATGGTTGCAGTTGGAGAAACTGCAGTTCATTTGCTGTCTTGAAGCAACAGTTTTTCCCCTGCCCATATTTTCTCTGATGTTGCTCGTTTAGAGCAATGTGGTTGCTGCATCCCATTTTGGTAGTTGAATTTCAGTGTTGGGGCAGAAGCACTCTACAAGCTGTGGGGAAAAAAAGAGCTCTTTGTTCTTTATAAATAAAAGGTGTTAACAATCAATGCTGACTGAAAGCTGTTTAAAACTGGCAGATTTATCTTAGAATTGAGAGATGTGAAGAGTGATTGTGTAGTCAGTTGCCACAGCTATACTGATAGACAGTAAATCATTCAATTGTGGCAACTTAATCTCATGTGTCTGAGTGACCATGTCTTCAGTATCAGCAAAGACAGCAGTGCTTAAGTATATGTGGACTGTAAGGTGCTTTGACTTGCAAAAAACTGTTTTCATCTGCTCATTTATGCAACAATTAACTTGTTTTTACTAAATTAATATTCTGTGACTAGAAAAAATGCTCTAGAATTTTGGACTGACTGATTTTATAATAATTATGAAAATTTGTTATTTAGTTTAGTTCCTTGATGCGAAAGTCAGTCAGGATGAGGGTAGCTGAGGATAAATGAAGAAGAAAACATAGTTTTTTAATTATTGTTTTCTCTAGCTTCCTTTTATTGTGACAAATCTTGACATAAACTTGACATCTCTTAAATGTTAATTATCAGTACGAATATATCTCCTGGTAACAACACTTCCATAGTACCAGTTCTGTTTTGAAATAACACTACTGCTTTTTGTGTAGTAAATCTTTCATAAGCACTGCCATATCTTACCTGTAATTGCTGCCCCTACCCACATATCTAGTTTAAATTATCTTTAAGATCTGGCATATGCTACATCATAAATTGGCTTGTTAATAGGAGTACTGCAGACTCTGCCTTCTCCAGGGAGCAGCAAATAATTTCTGCAATATTCTCAGTTTCCAGTGACCTATTTTTGAAAATGCTCTATAATTCCAAAACAAAAAACACTCACATATGCACTAAGGTAGACAAAATGTCTGTCTTTACTAGAGTGCAATTATGCAAGCAGGGACTATTTGCCACGTTGCTGGAGACTAGAGAATTAACTTGCTGTTCTTGGCATGTTGTCCACCATGTGTTTCAAACCTTTTTCATGGCAGGGAAATACACTACTTTTGTGTAAAAATGCCAGTTTTAATTTTCCTCCTTAATTCCTCACACATAATAGGGAAAGAACAGCTTTTATGYTGACTGGTTGGTCTGTACTCCATATACTCTAAGTTTGTGGAAAATATGATGTATTTTTTTTTKAAAGCAATTATGGGATTTGTCTGTTAAATTAAAAAAAAAAAGGTGAAATAAATTTTAGCCATGGAGTTATGACTAGTCCTTCATTAATCATCTATATCCTACTAAGTTGCTTGTAGAGTGCTATTGTGGTAAAAATCTAAGCAGAAAGTATTCTTTATGACTTGGATGCTTTTTTTGCATCTCTATGATGTTATAGTGCCATCTTTGTTTCTTCAGTATGGCAAATATTGACAAGATTAAAAAAATGKTTAAGGAAAGAGTGTGCTTTAAAAGCAGTGTTTTAGATCACAGAGAAGTTAGGTCAGCTCTAGCTGCAAACTTTGTTAAATTATTTCTTTTATGGTAAATTCACTGTGAATACCCTTTTATCCAAAGGGGCAGGTAGGCTACAGTTGTCTGGAGGACATGAAGSAGAGTAGAATTTTAAAGAAGAATTAGTTAGAAATGGTTGGCTAACGTTAAATGCTCAGACTCTCTTACCTTTTGCTTCATTTAACTGTGATTAGTGCTGAAGATGGTTTAGGTAATCTGCTCTTCTACAAGCTGGTGAGAGAACTTAACAGCTGGTGAAAGAAGCATTGCCATGTGCTCTTTCTCATTTACAACTTCGAGCATTATGGCTGGCATTTATCATACCTATCCTTTAGACTAAGTTTCTTCTTTTCCACTGAGCATTTAATAACATAAGGATGGCCTTCTTAGAACAAAACTTAGATTATGAAAGACAATTACATACATGCCCAGGCATTTGGGTAGTCATAAAAATAGTCATGAGAAATTAACTGAGATTAACTTAGAGATGCAAGATATTAAGGAATAAATTGTACCAAAATTGGAAGAGGGAAGTGGATGTTTAATATTAGATTTGATTGATAAAGAAGGAAAGATAGCAAGGGARAAGTTGGGTGTCATAATTCTTAATTTCCTTGAAGGAACTGATGAAAGCTGTTCCTCAGAAATTGATAACAACTATATAAATATAAGGAACAAAAACTCAAGTTTGCCAAGGAGTTGATAACATTGGAGGAAAAGAGATAGATTGTTACTGCTGTTATAAGAAAGGAGGAGTTGAAGTGATCTCAGCAGGATCTGTTGCCCTCCTTCAAAGCTATCCMTGTGTAATGACTTTTAGCAATCTTYAGAAATTTCCCAGTGTTGGTGACTGTTACAGATGGTGTATTTCAAAGCTTTGCTGTTTTTACAGTCTCCGTAGTTTTTTTGTCTTGTTTGTTTGCTTGTTTTTAGTATTTACCTTAGTAATAATCTTCCTGTGAGTTAAACCTATCACTACACTATTCTGATCACAGATTGGTAAGAAGGCGCAGGGTGGAAGGATGTCAGGAGGTCAGCAGTCAAACACTCTCTAAATAGGATCAACTGAGAGATGGAACTAGGCTGCTCGAAGATTTATTGAGTTCCTTCTTGTAAACTTCTAAGGATGGAGACTGAGCAACCTCTTTGGTCAACCTGTTTTGTTTTCCTCATGGTGAAAATGTTTTTCATTAGGTACGGTTTGTATTTCTATATTTTCAGCTAATGCCCATTGAATTTTATCCTGCCATGAACTRGTGTGAAGAGTGTGACTCCATTTCCTTTGTTGCTTCCTCATGGGTATGGGAGGGCTGCTTTTAAGTCCTCCCAGGGCCACTTCCTCTCCGTGCTGAAGAATTTGGGTTTGTTCATCTTTTCCTTGAAAAACGAGTGCTCCAGCCTCTGATCATCTTGGTGGCCCTCTGCTGAACTTTCTTCACTTTTCTGATGAATTGAGGGGCCTAAGGATGTGTTCTGACAGGAGTATTCTTTTAGATATAATCCAACAAAGGCAGAGTAGAGAAGTTCCCTGGTGTGGTGGCTGTGCTTCTGCTAAYGCAGCCCAGGATCACGTTGGCCGTCCTTGCTACCAGGGAATGTTGCTGGCTCAGATTTGGCCTGCTATCTGACAAGACCTGCAGGTCATGTTCAGTTGCTCCCCAGCTTGCTGTATTGTTCCATCCTCCCCAGCTACAGGGCTTTGTGCTTGTCCTTGTAGAATGTTGAAAGGTTCCTGTTCACCCAYTCCTGGAGCATGTCTGCATGCCCCTTTGTGGTAAACCTTTCCTTGGGCACATTGGCTGGTCTTCCCAATTTAGTGGCTTCTGCAAACTGTGTATAAAAGCATACAAAGAGAGCTCCTGTTATCATCTCTTAAAACTTTTACCAGCATCATCATGCCTGCCGTAAGTCTGGTGTTTGTTGAAGCACTCAATATTTTTTTCCATTTTTTTCATATCAGTCACAGTTTCTAAACCTGTGATACTATTACTGGTTTCTTCTAATCTATCCTTTTTTTTAAATATTCAAATGTACAGAGATGCATTATTTTGCCTGGAATATTTCATGCTTTTGTGATATTTRCAAAATAAGCTTGGCATTCCGCTGTGATCTATAATTCCTTGATCCTATTGTGTGAAACCTGCTACAAAGCCAGATGCTTCCTATTGTGCACTCGATTATTGCTTCCTTTGAACTTGTCATGGTATTTATTTAATTTCATCCTATTATTTTTACATTGTTTTTCATGATAAAATTTAAACTCCCCTCAAATAATCTTGCTAGTACTAGTCTGTACTAGTTTGTTGCCATATGTGAAATTATTTAATGAGTGTGCGTTCTTGTTTTGTGATCTAAAATACTCCTTGTGAAACTATCAGTTAAAACTGGGCCCAGACAAATGCCTGAAAAGCTTGAAAAATCTTTTCTATTGACAGTAGGTCATTGAACCAGCTATTTTTATATGCATAATATTGTTTCTTTTGAATATTTGTGAAAATTTCATGGGAGAAGCAGTGTGCACATACAGGTTTTTTTTTTCCAGGTGTGAACTCTATGAGAACAAGTGTGACTGAAGCCAATTCTGCCTTTATTCCTCATTTACAAGATACTGACTTTACTAGGGTGTGGTGGAAAGCARGGGCAGAAGACTCAATAATTGAGATCTGAGAGCTGATCTTAGAATTGTGGAGGAGACAGGGATGACATTTGGACTTTTAATAGGCTGTGCTTTATGATATTGGACATTAGTGCAGAGGAATCATCAGCAGTGTCTGCTTTGAGTGTTTGTCACCTGTAGCTTGASCCAAAACCTCTGAAATAAATGGGACTCCTTTTTGAGTTCTGAGCATGTCTGTAGGCTCTCTTTTGAAAGTTTAAATCTTGCCAATACTCCTTACTTATCTTCAACAACACTGAAGAAATGGAATCTGGCCTTTATCCTCAAAAGACAGCAGAAACATGACAGACAACATGCAGAAATGTAAAATTGAACTGCCTTTTTTTTTTCCAAAAAAGGGAACAGTGAAGCTGYAACTAATATTACCTGAAATAAAAGCCAGTATATTTTTTATCTTCCTATTACTGTGAAATGCTATTTTGTGTTTATCGTAAAACATATTCAGTTTTTAATGTATCTGATATAACTGTGTTCCTTTCTGTGTTGCCATTTTTTTTTCTGCCACTGTAGTTCAGTTAATGTGAATTTGGAACGCATGAAATGCAGGAGAAATACTGTAAGAAGATGTGTATACTATAAAAATTGAAAATTCCTTTAACTGATTCTTGAAAGATATGATGCCATTATTTGTTTATACCCTATTTTATGATTATGATAATAATAATAGAGTCTGATGCAAATCTTACCATGTTAAATATTTTACAATTGGTAACATTTTAAATATGTTTTTTTTTTTTTAATTTAGGGTATTCTCTTGGTTTATGATATTACCAATGGCCAGAGTTTTGAAAATGTGGAAGACTGGTATAACGTGGTAAAAAAAGTGAATGAAGAATCAGAAACACAGCCACTTGTGGCCTTGGTTGGAAATAAAAGTAAGTTACTCATATTTACATATTAATTGAAATACTCTGGATGTGATTTGCTATTAAGGAAATGACATAAGGTATATCTATTTCATAAAATGCAGCTATATACTRTCTTGTGTGTTTTTGCTGTGTACAGATCATGTATTTGGGTATACTTCAGGATTCTGGCTCTGTACAGATAGGTAACGGGACTTGCTGCATCATGCTTTGCATAGCCTGCAGCTTCTCTCCCTGTGTCCTCTTGTCTTGGAGGGCAGAACACAGGAGTAGAGAGATCACTTGCCCATATTTGATTTTGATAGGGCCCCAGGATGTAGCCATGACATGCATCTGGAATGGAGAATTGGGAAGCACTCCTTTATGTAGTRTATTTCATGATTCTATRTGTTGAGACTGCTGGATTAACTTCRGGTACATGTTTAAAAAACTACACTATGCACTAGACATAATACTTAGGAGCTGCTTATCAGACTTGATGTTATCTGTGGTTTTGCACATGAGGTGACTTTCTTYGTGTTGTTTTGGGATTTKTTTAACCTCTCCTTTCTGTGATCAGAAAGTAAGTAAGTATGATAYGTAAGTATGTTATAATGGTTTTCTTCTGACCACCAAAATATACYGCTTTAAATAATCATCACCTACTTAGTTTCCTAATTAGATGGATTCCAAATTCCCTTGTTTCCAACTGGGAAAAAAAATCTGACAGAAGCATCCTTATTAATAATGTATGATATATGATGTCTTCATGTCTTGATCGTGGCTCTCTTACCCCTTCTTCTGCTGAAGATAAAAGCAACATATAACAATTTTAGAAACAAAGTGGTAGAAGCAGATACATAATTTTTAAACAGTGTAAATACATTTGTCTGAACAATGGAAAAATTGATTTTTTTTTCACTTTCCAAGTAATTTGTTTCCCTGTTACAGTGACCATGTCATGAACMAACCTGAGAAAAGGACCTTATTTAGCAAGTTAGGATTGTTTAAAAGAATTTTAAAACCATGTAGAGACAGCACTTTCATTCAGAACCATCAAGTTTAGTATTGCTKCAGTGATGCTATAACATTTTATGACATTAATTATGAAAGACTAATTTCCTGTGAAGACAACAGAGAAGGTCTTAGAGTTACAATATAAAAATAGCACTTTGAAAGTATAACACAGATGGTGTTGTGCTCTAGCAGACCAGAGTCAATAATACAGATTCTGTTGAAATTCAAAGTATTTTTCACTGGTTTCTATTTTGCCCCAAAATTGGACTTCCTAGCTGGAGTTCTGCAAATCTTGCAAAGTAWTTGCARTAAGATACACTGTAACATAGAATAAAAAACGTTCCTTTGCTGAAATGTCACCATAGGTGTAGAAAATGATACATTGGTTTCCATTTGGAAGAGTTTTCTTTCTGTTATTTTTCATACATAAATGCCCGCAAATCTTTAATATCCAAGTATTTCCTTGGAGCATCAGGAAATAGAATCTGGTTTTCTAGGTGAGTTTTCAGATAAAGGCTGACACTGACTAGTGAAAGGGCTTTCGTTTCATGAAAATAGCAGCTGAAGGAACTGTGCTTGCTACCTTTCATAAGCTGTGTATAAAGAAAAGCAACAAAATATTGATTTCATGTGATGCTAAGGGTGTTTGTTGCTGTTGCACATGTTGAGCATGCAGGAGAAAC